GGATTTTTGTTTAAGCAGACACCCACTCCCCTCTATTAGTCCATTATACCAAAGTTTCATTGATATTTTTTTTTTTTATTATCACACCGGCCGATTCCCACCAAGGCAGGGTGGCCCGAAAAAGAAAAACTTTCACCATCATTCACTCCATCACTGTCTTGCCAGAAGGGTGCTTTACACTACAGTTTTTAAACTGCAACATTAACACCCCTCCTTCAGAGTGCAGGCACTGTACTTCCCATCTCCAGGACTCAAGTCCGGCCTGCCGGTTTCCCTGAATCCCTTCATAAATGTTACTTTGCTCACACTCCAACAGCACGTCAAGTATTAAAAACCATTTGTCTCCATTCACTCCTATCAAACACGCTCACGCATGCCTGCTGGAAGTCCAAGCCCCTCGCACACAAAACCTCCTTTACCCCCTCCCTCCAACCCTTCCTAGGCCGACCCCTACCCCGCCTTCCTTCCACTACAGACTGATACACTCTTGAAGTCATTCTGTTTTCGCTCCATTCTCTCTACATGTCCGAACCACCTCAACAACCCTTCCTCAGCCCTCTGGACAACAGTTTTGGTAATCCCGCACCTCCTCCTAACTTCCAAACTACGAATTCTCTGCATTATATTCACACCACACATTGCCCTCAGACATGACATCTCCACTGCCTCCAGCCTTCTCCTCGCTGCAACATTCATCACCCACGCTTCACACCCATATAAGAGCGTTGGTAAAACTATACTCCCATACATTCCCTCTTTGCCTCCAAGGACAAAGTTCTTTGTCTCCACAGACTCCTAAGTGCACCACTCACTCTTTTTCCCTCATCAATTCTATGATTCACCTCATCTTTCATAGACCCATCCGCTGACACGTCCACTCCCAAATATCTGAATACGTTCACCTCCTCCATACTCTCTCCCTCCAATCTGATATTCAATCTTTCATCAACCTAATCTTTTTGTTATCCTCATAACCTTACTCTTTCCTGTATTCACCTTTAATTTTCTTCTTTTGCACACCCTACCAAATTCATCCACCAATCTCTGCAACTTCTCTTCAGAATCTCCCAAGAGCACAGTGTCATCAGCAAAGAGCAGCTGTGACAACTCCCACTTTGTGTGTGATTCTTTATCTTTTAACTCCACGCCTCTTGCCAAGACCCTCGCATTTACTTCTCTTACAACCCCATCTATAAATATATTAAACAACCACGGTGACATCACACATCCTTGTCTAAGGCCTACTTTTACTGGGAAAAAATTCCCCTCTTTCCTACATACTCTAACTTGAGCCTCACTATCCTCGTAAAAACTCTTCACTGCTTTCAGTAACCTACCTCCTACACCATACACTTGCAACATCTGCCACATTGCCCCCTATCCACCCTGTCATACGCCTTTTCCAAATCCATAAATGCCACAAAGACCTCTTTAGCCTTATCTAAATACTGTTCACTTATATGTTTCACTGTAAACACCTGGTCCACACACCCCCTACCTTTCCTAAAGCCTCCTTGTTCATCTGCTATCCTATTCTCCGTCTTACTCTTAATTCTTTCAATTATAACTCTACCATACACTTTACCAGGTACACTCAACAGACTTATCCCCCTATAATTTTTGCACTCTCTTTTATCCCCTTTGCCTTTATACAAAGGAACTATGCATGCTCTCTGCCAATCCCTAGGTACCTTACCCTCTTCCATACATTTATTAAATAATTGCACCAACCACTCCAAAACTATATCCCCACCTGCTTTTAACATTTCTATCTTTATCCCATCAATCCCGGCTGCCTTACCCCCTTTCATTTTACCTACTGCCTCACGAACTTCCCCACACTCACAACTGACTCTTCCTCACTCCTACAAGATGTTATTCCTCCTTGCCCTATACACGAAATCACAGCTTCCCTATCTTCATCAACATTTAACAATTCCTCAAAATATTCCTTCCATCTTCCCAATACCTCTAACTCTCCATTTAATAACTCTCCTCTCCTATTTTTAACTGACAAATCCATTTGTTCTCTAGGCTTTCTTAACTTGTTAATCTCACTCCAAAACTTTTTCTTATTTTCAACAAAATTTGTTGATAACATCTCACCCACTCTCTCATTTGCTCTCTTTTTACATTGCTTCACCACTCTCTTAACTTCTCTCTTTTTCTCCATATACTCTTCCCTCCTTGCATCACTTCTACTTTGTAAAAACTTCTCATATGCTAACTTTTTCTCCCTTACTACTCTCTTTACATCATCATTCCACCAATCGCTCCTCTTCCCTCCTGCACCCACTTTCCTGTAACCACAAAACTTCTGCTGAACACTCTAACACTACATTTTTAAACCTACCCCATACCTCTTCGACCCCATTGCCTATGCTCTCATTAGCCCATCTATCCTCCAATAGCTGTTTATATCTTACCCTAACTGCCTCCTCTTTTAGTTTATAAACCTTTACCTCTCTCTTCCCTGATGCTTCTATTCTCCTTGTATCCCATCTACCTTTTACTCTCAGTGTAGCTACAACTAGAAAGTGATCTGATATATCTGTGGCCCCTCTATAAACATGTACATCCTGAAGTCTACTCAACAGTCTTTTATCTACCAATACATAATCCAACAAACTACTGTCATTTCGCCCTACATCATATCGTGTATACTTATTTATCCTCTTTTTCTTAAAATATGTATTACCTATAACTAAACCCCTTTCTATACAAAGTTCAATCAAAGGGCTCCCATTATCATTTACACCTGGCACCCCAAACTTACCTACCACACCCTCTCTAAAAGTTTCTCCTACTTTAGCATTCAAGTCCCCTACCACAATTACTCTCTCACTTGGTTCAAAGGCTCCTATACATTCACTTAACATCTCCCAAAATCTCTCTCTCTCCTCTGCATTCCTCTCTTCTCCAGGTGCATACACGCTTATTATGACCCACTTCTCGCATCCAACCTTTACTTTAATCCACATAATTCTTGAATTTACACATTCATATTCTCTTTTCTCCTTCCATAACTGATCATTTAACATTACTGCTACCCCTTCCTTTGCTCTAACTCTCTCAGATACTCCAGATTTAATCCCATTTATTTCCCCCCACTGAAACTCTCCTACCCCCTTCAGCTTTGTTTCGCTTGGGGCCAGGACATCCAACTTCTTTTCATTCATAACATCAGCAATCATCTGTTTCTTGTCATCCGCACTACATCCACGCACATTTAAGCAACCCAGTTTTATAAAGTTTTTCTTCTTCTCTTTTTTTAGTAATTGTATACAGGAGAAGGGTTACTAGCCCATTGCTCCCGGCATTTTAGTCGCCTCATACGACACGCATGGCTTACGGAGGAAAGATTCTTTTCCACTTCCCCATGGACAATAGAAGAAATAAAAAGAACAAGAGCTATTTAGAAAAAGGAGAAAAACCTAGATGTATGTATATATATATATATGCATGTGCGTGTCTATGAAGTGTGACCAAAGTGTAAGTAGGAGTAGCAAGATATCCCTGTTATCTTAGCGTGTTTATGAGACAGAAAAAGAAACCAGCAATCCTACCATCATGCAAAACAGTTACAGGTTTTTGTTTCACAGTCATCTGGCAGGACGGTAGTACTTCCCTGGGTGGTTGCTGTCTACCAACCTACTACCTTTCATTGATATATCATTATAATCCTAGAGCTTAGCTACATGACAACCATTTTTTTCTAAATCAAACTTATCTTTATACAGTAAGCTATTTGAAAACTAGTCATTTGAGAAGCACTTTGCTGCAATGCTGATTTTCTAATGTATGGATCTCAGCCAACCTCTTTATCAATGTTTTACACTTGGTAATATTAAATTTATAAAAATGCAGTAACAAAAATTCATTATTCTAAAAGAATGAAAGGAATAAATGCAAAAAATGCCTAACTGAAGAGAACTACATTTATCAATGCTACAGTAGATGAATAAACATGCAGAAGACTATAATCCATACATCAGAAAATCAGTATTTATAAACACGTTTCCCTAGAAGGAGAGGTTGCAAGACCAACAATAGTTAGGTACAAGTTGCACACCTGACTGTCTTTTAAGTTAGTTCCGTATTGCAGCAACGTTTGTGAAGAGGCAGTTATGATACAGGCCATGGGTCTGTATCATATATGCTCTGAATTTAGATCATATTAGTAACTGCACCATCAAAAATTATAACTAACTCCTTTAGAATATGGTTGCGGATACCTCCATGTTTTTTTGCAATACTAGCAGGCTAATATACTTGTGCATTAATTCCTAATGTTAGGATTGTAAGATCTTAATTTACTTTTGGGAATATATTTCTTCATAGGAAATAATGAGCTCAACTTGACTCACAAATCATAACACGACTGCAAACCAACCACAGAACAGGTGGGGTTGGAACCCGTGGCGAGTGAGGCATGGGTTCAAAATTCACCCATTTCGTGGTTTATTTCAACAAGCTCAGCTTTGTAATTCATACACACTGTTGCAAAATGAAAAGTAATAAGTATTAATTGGGGTATGCGAGTCTTGCCACTACATGTATTTGTCTTGCTGCAAAGAGGAGTCAACTGTGGTAGGAACACGAGTGAAATTTGCAGGAATATGAGCCAACTTTGGTTCTAATGTCAATAAAGTTTGATAGAAATACTGTGCAAGTTATTTTTGGCAAGAATGTGAGACAATTTTGATGAGAACATGGTTAACTGTAGTGAATATATCCATCAACAGAGGCTAGGAGATGAATTATCTGTGGAGGAGAGTTGTTAATTTTAGAGAAAATGAAAATTGTGAAGAGAAAATGAGTTTACTGTAATGAGAACACAAGTATGCCTGAGAGAGAGAACATGAGTGTGCCTGAGAGAACACAAGTGTGCCTGAGAGAACACAAGTGTGCCTGAGAGAACACAAGTGTGCCTGAGAGATAATACAAGTGTGCCTGAGTGAGAACATGAGTGTGCCTGAGAGAACATGAGTGTGCCCTACCCTGCAACTGCCGGTTGATAATGGCTGTTATGCTCCCCGACTCCTCCCCTTTCTTGACCACCAGTAGCGGCTTGCTCTCGCTGTCATCAGACAGGTTGGCAACGCAGTGACCATTGCCCATCCCTGACAGAGACTCGTTGACCTGGGGACCGACAAGGTGAGGTCAGGTCACGGTTCTCACCACCTCTTGGAAGGTGGTTATTGTGGGGGTGGGGTGATGGACGTCAAAATACGATGTACTGTACCTTTCATTTTTAATTTCTGAATAATTTCAAGTAAATTAGAAAGTGAATTAGCGTTTAGAGATAATATTATATCCAAAATTACGATATGCATTTCAACCCAGTGATCATGAAATAATCTTTATTTACAAAAGAATTAACTATTCTTTTTTATTCAAAACCAATAAGATATATACAGTATGGCAAATAATTTGGCTGACTAGCTACTTGTGGCTGTGTTGAATGATGAAAAACTATGCATGATTCAGGTACTTAAAAGGGCACTACACATCCCAATCAACTGAACATTGAAGTAACCAAACAGTGTAAGGTGCAGAGAAAACAAGGTAAGAGGACAAGAGTGGTAGGTAGAGTATCACAGTGAAGGAGAACGTGAGGAGTGTGAGCAGAGGGCGTCGGCTGTCTGCCTGTGTCCCACAACACGTCCACTAACTCCCTCCAGCTAGTCAGTCCCTGCATAATAAAGCTAATTAAAGGTAACAATGAAAAAGTTCAAAAAGTGCTACAAGAACAGAGCACTTATGAGTCAAGGCACAAAGAAGGTTCACCTGTAAGTCAAAGTATAGATTTAGTTCCATAACCAAAGAACTTTTCTTTTCTAAATGTTAATTATTATATTTAGTAGTGACCAGTATAACAATATAGCAAGTCTTCAGCAGCAAAGAAGTAAATGCAGTACTGTAAAACAAAATTTAGCATCGTCAAGGTCTTTTACCGAGGACTGAAATTCTTTGTGCTTTAACACACGAGTACATTAAAGTGTTGGATACATTCTGAACACATGGACTGCAGCATGCCTGCCAGTGTCACAGTATTATAATTACTATTGTATAGGGAGGTCAGTTATCTAATTAATCAAAGATTTGGTAACTAATATCCCATACACAAACTAGTCATACCTTATACGGACCTACTCGAATCAATATGAATTACCAATTACGATAAGTAAGTGCCGTTATTTGATTCAGTTACCTCTTCAGGTTACTGATTGGCCTACAACAATAACAGCCTTACAAACTTAAATTTTATAAGTCAAAGAAATAATTAGATGCTGAGAGATTTGCCTCTCTTCAAGTGAGTCTATACACGTAGCATGCATTAAACTGCAGAAGACTACGGTACAGAAACATGGGGCCTCTTCAGAGGGCTAGTACATCACATGAAAATGAATAAAGGTATAAAATGCATATATAAAATTACAAGAACTACACTATGCAGTTATTGTAAACATGGGCTGTCACTTAGTATGACAGTTGTTGTGGTTAGCTGTTCAAAGCCAGGTGTGTCTCAGGCAGAAATGCAATAGATGATATATCTCCATGGGGAACTTGGGAGAATTGGGCATATAATGCCATTCATTTTCCAGTTCTGACAGATTTATTTTTAGTACCTTTAATTAAAAAATAGCAGAAATATCAGTCAGGAGAGGGTGCTGAAGTTATCATTCAATAAGGAATGCACTCTTAAAATTGTGAAAGCTTTATGAAAATGAGAATGTAACTTCTTGTGGATGATATACAATAACATACAACCTGTGTACAAGCAAACGTACATCTTGCATCAGCTCCTGCAAGAGTCAGATGTGAAGGCTGAGAATTTTATATTTTGTTTGCTTTCAGTGAAAATGAGACCAGTCTGCTAGGCTTATTTGTAGCCTCAGGAACGCAGCATAGTGTTAACAAGCGTAGACTTCCACATCTTGCTCTTTCCTAGTAAGATTTTGACACCAGAGAAACACCTTTCTTTACAGCCATATAACAAATTGCTCACAGCCAATGTTCAGTGATATAGTATTAAAAACAAGCATAGCAATAGTTGACTAATCCATAACCATACACTGTATATGATCACCGGTTTCCATCATTTCCATGTTCATCAATGATTTAAAAACAAAAATACTGTACACAAGACTGCTTCATTCTTATTTTGGTACAGGAGTTGTATCTGAGCTCGACACACCTAACTTCTTCCTATGGATGTTTTCTTTCATCTTTATAAATATTTTGGCATCTCTATAGTATTATAGTACTTTACAAAACAGGTAGCATACTAGAGGAAAATAAATTGGTCAGTAAGGAAAAAAATAATCACATTTACATATGGATGGATGTACACATACGAAGACTGGCCAGGGTGTCACAACACTAGGTGAGAAACAGCACTACCTAGGAGTCAGTGTAAAAATGTTCAGATGTAAGGGAAGCTTTTACCAGGTGTATCCAGTGTGAGTGGTGATGCTGCAGAAAGTGTCAAGAATATAGTAGAGATGTGTAGTGTCATCAACATCATTACAAGGGTGAGGTGTGTGTGAACTGGGGGAGAAATAGTCAACCTGCTGGAAAGTCCTGAAGGGATGCGGGAGGGCCATCGGCTGCTCACCAAACCAGGAAAAAAATAAACCCACACTTCTGTCATTTAGTAATGGCTTGAAAATTAAAAACTTTGGTCAGTTCACCTAGCAAGACACTACTGCATAAGCAATAGCTTGCTAAGGTAAAAGAATGCATCAGTTTGCATACAAGCAAACGTGCAAGCATAACCAACGCAGCTACCAAGTGGAAACCATGACTAGACATTATTGAAATACAGTGATGTAAGGTATTGCTTGTACTGTACTATTATTATATGATGGTAACAGACAAAGCAAAACAAAACCAAAAGTTCATCATTACCGATTATATTATACAGTTTGTTTAAATTGGGATATTTTCCTGTCAGTAACTTTTTGACTTTAATTATAAAAATTTCAAGAAATATTATCATTTTAAATTATTATAATTTATTTCTGAACCTTCTAGATCAATCTTCAACTCTGTTATGGAAAGACTCGAACTTCACATAGCTACCGTGCAGACTCATTACGTCTATCTCACCAGCTAGATGATTACTCTGAGGAATTATTAACTGAGCTTAACAAACGTGTGCCTCCACTCTGTGTTGAAGGTTACGTGACATCATAATGCATGTATGTTATAGATGTGTTTGAAGCTTCTTCACTATGACACACAGCACATACAGTATGTATGTTGTAGATGTGTTTAAGCTACAGTAACATGACAATCATGAATATGCACACTATATATGTGTTTATGATGTGACAAAATGTACAGTACTGTACATGTTCATTAAAGATTTAATGTCTACAAAGATATAATTTGAAAATTTATATTACACTAGACTGATAATATGCTGTAAACTCTTACAAACTTAATTCTTTTAATAATAATTATATAAAACACATACTACTGTATTATTATTATTGTTATTACATTATACTATTATTATGTATTATTATTACACCACTACCACTACTATTACTACCACTACTACTACAGTAGGACGCCACAACTTGGGAATGTTTGCATAACACTCCCTGGAGTCAGCAATGATCCACTTACCTAATTCTTCAATTTATTCAACAATTTTCAACTATCCAGCATTATTTTTACACAGCATTTATGCACACAGTGTAGTACATAGCTATAAGTACATGTTTATTATTTTTAAACATGAGCCATATCCTACCAAGGCAAGGTGACCCAAAGATGAAAAAAAAATAATCATCATTTGCTCCCTTGTTGTGTTTCTATTTAGCACAGACATGATTTGATAGTCCACCAAACTGCCATATTTCCACGCAGCTTTCGAGTGCTGCAATGTACTCGATAAACCTTAAAACTCAAGACCAACTAACTGGTTTCCCTAATTTCCTTCACAAACGTTACTATTTTTACACTCCAACAGGAGGTAAAATTCTGAAAACAACTTTCATCCATTCTAATCTAAGATGCCCACACATGCCTGAGGGAGGCTCAAGCTCTTACCACTCAAAATCACCTTCACACCTTTCTAACTCATCTTCAGACATCATCTTCATCTTCCATCCACCCCAGATTAATATACCCTATTACTCAATCCATCTTTCTCCATCATTATAACTATGTCAACAACCTCTTTTCCACTCCTTGAATTGTGAGCAGGTGTGCGAGTGTTTTTAATTACAGATTCAGAAATCCAGAAAATTTAACAGTTCTCAAAGACCTCAGTTGAGACCCATGCTGGGGATTGTGGTGACCTCTGTAATACTGACTCACGAAATTTTAATGACACGATTGCAAACAAACCATACCCCAGCCGGGATTGAACCCGCGGTCAGAGAGTCTCAAAACTCCAGCCCGTCGCGTTAGCCACTAGACCAGCTAGCCACAATAAGATTCGTCCAACTAGGTATATTTCTACAACAATGGTGTAGAAATATACCTATGTTGTAGAAATATACCTAGTTGGACGAATCTTATTGTGGCTAGCTGGTCTAGTGGCTAACGCGACGGGCTGGAGTTTTGAGACTCTCTGACCGCGGGTTCAATCCCGGCCGGGGTATGCTCTGTAATACTGCATTAGAGTTCTACTTCACAAGCTACAGTACTGTATTTTCTGGCAAACAAGGCACACCCCAATTCTGGCTGGTATATTCATGGAAAAATGCAGTACTCCCTTGAAAAATGATAAGTGGACCAGTGGCTGACTGCATATGAACACAGTGTAGCTGAGTGGTGGAACCTTGTGCACCCTGTCTGCTCCACCAACCACCAAAAGCATGACTACCTGTTCTTTGCAGAAGGCTACTTTACAATTATTTACAACTGCTGAAGCTGCTTTGTTTATGTACCAACATGTAAATAATAAACAATGAAGTAATCTGGGAAAACAATTTTGTGAGTGGGGGGATGTTTGGGATTTAGCTGACTGGTACTGCAGCACTGAAACCATCACTTGCCAGTAATGACTTTGAGCATACAAGGCACAGGCTGACTTTCTGACACTTATTGAGGGAAAAAAAATGTGCCCTATATGGCAGAAATTACAGTATATTTATAAAACAATCTATCACTTTCTATAA